TTACCTATATTACAAATTGTAAAAGTGATAGACCAGAAATTGTTGGCGAATACCTCCAAGCCGGTTTCTTTTATACTACCTGTCTAAATTGCTTGAGCCATCCACACTGGCAGTCTTTAAAATTGCAATTGGAACACTATTTTATTTTATCAGCCATAGTTTAGTTGAATTCTCTCTTGAAGCTACTAATGGTTGGCCAATGCTTGGAAGCACTGGTCTGCCGGACGTCCAAGGATCTAAGTCCAGTGAACTCCCAACACTTCGCCATTCCATGCTGTTGGCCTTTTGGCCAAGTTGATGATTCGGCTTTGTGTTCTGTCTGGCGTACGCACCAAAATGAAACTCGCTTAAAATTGCAAGAACTCGGACATGCCGCGTTTTATTGAGACAAAAGAATAAACAAATAAACCTTTATTATGTTTTCAAATTTTCGTAAAAACGATACCTGCACGTTTTTTTTCTTGCTTTTTTTTCGGGTATTTTTAATGTGCGGGGTCTCACGTTTTACGGCAATCAAAAACAAAAAGTCTGGGGGTGTGCGAATATTCGTTATTTTCGAATAACGAATCGAATATTACCCTATCCGATTCGTTATTTGAATCGAATAATATTTCTCAAAAGTTTCGAATATTTTTCGAATAAGTTCCGAATAGTCGTTACGGTGTCGCGCCCCGAGATTTCCTTCACAGGCGTCCCACAACGCGCCGGCACGCCTGCAGTATGTGCCTGCAAGATGGCAATACGTACCCTCTTCTCCTAGACAATGATTGTCATCATCGGCGGCAGCCGTCCCTCTCCGTACGTACATTGCTGTTGCCTCCATTAGGAACCACTGTGTTAAGTATAACCCGCATGTAAGTGATTTGCCGAGAGACGAGACAGGCGACGTCGACCCTCTTCGCTGTCGTTCAATCAGTCGCGCGATGAGGCAAGCCGCATGAAAGTGGCGTGAGCAAGTGACCAAGGCAATGAGGACGTTTTCTAGAAATCCAAACACTGAGCGACGCGACGAGCGACAGTGAGAAATCTCTGTCGCTCGCTGCTGACCCTCGTCGTCGCTGTCGCTCGTCTTGTCGCTCGCTAAATCGCTTACATGCGGTTCAGCATTTAGGAACAACTTTCGCACGAGATTGCTCGTGCACTCTTTCGGAAAGCGTGTGGTGGAGACGTTCCAGAACTGGTTGCAACAGTACCGCCGTTCTGTGTAAGCGAAGTAGAAGTGGTAGAAGCAGGAAGTTGTTCGAAGAGAAAGCGCACTAGAGTGGGGAAGTTTTTCGGCCGCTCCCATGCAATCAATTAAATAAGCCACAAGAGCTGTTTGTGTCGAGTATTTCAAAACACTTTCCATGGTTTTTCCACTTGTTCAGTGTGTGAAGATGTTGCTTTTTGAGGGCGCAAGTAGATCAAGACAATGCGTTTTCCCAGAATCTTCTCAGATCAGTGAAAATAAGGTTCCTGGACGTAAGTGCACAGGCACATCACGCTCTTACACATTCCTTGTGCTCATCAACTCTCATCACCACATCAAGAAGCCATAACACCAGACAGCACAGCTTCCAGCTGAACGGAGAGGAACTCCCCGCCACTAACCGTGCAAGACTTCTTGGTGTGACAGTAGATTCAAAATTAACCTTTTCGCCGCACATTGGGGAGGTGACCTCAAAAGCCCGCCGGATGCTCGGATTTGTGCGTCGAGTCACCCGAGGAGCTGGCGCCAGTGCATTGCGGGACCTGTACACTGCTCTAGTGCTCCCACAACTCGAGTATTGTGCTTCAGTTTGGGACCCTTACCAGAATTCACTGAAAGCGTCCCTCGAGAGTGTGCAGCGGCGTGCCGCCTACACAGTCTTGCGGTGCCAGGCTTCCCCTGGACTGCCACATTACCGCGACCTGTCCACGCAAGAACTTCTGAGGATGGTGGGGTGGAACCCCCTAGCACTTCGCCGGCAGGTTGCATCACTCCGGCTCCTTGCTGACAGCCTCCTCCCAAGAGATCAGGAGCTCCCGCTGGTTAAAAGCTTGCGCCTTACTAGATCTGGTGGGCTACAGCCACTGTTCGGTCGCACTGTGCGTCACCAGAACTCTGTCTTGGTGAAGTGTGTAACCCTCTGGCGCTCGCTGCCAAAGACGCTGACCGACTGTCCACCCCAGGAGAAGGATGACCTTAAAGACTGGTGCAAGGAGGCATCGGACTTCCTTCAGCAGTGATCTTCCATGGAAAAAACGTTGAATGCTTCATTGTCATATTTATTTATTTATTTGTTTCTTTTTTTTTTTTTCACAATATGTAGTAGTGCGGCACCACAGGCCTCAGGTATGGGCCAATGGCCTTTCTGTGGTGCCGCAACCCTCCAGGGTTGAATAAAGATATTATTATTATTATTGATCCTCAATTCAAGGACATCTGCTACAAAAAGGAATAAAAAGATAATGTCGAGTTCCTATCATGGACAATGCTTCAGAATCTACCAGGCTCAAGCGAGCTGCGATTTTATGTTCAGCATCCGCGTGAACCGTGATATTATATTTAGCATTCTAATATTTTATTAGCTTTTGTCTTTATTTAAATATATATAGTTGAACTCTAGTTATTATTGTCTAGCTGCAATTTTACAATAATTTTAAGAAACGTTTTGGAACAATAAAAATCAATTTATAATCTCTGCTCTACTTTAACCTGTCTACTTACTATTCGAAAATTATTCGATTCGTATTCGTATTCGATTTGGTTTCGAAAATCACTATTCGCACACCCCTAAAAAAGTCCCATAAAAAAAGTTCGCCAAAACTTTTCTGCACATCGAACACCCGGTAAGTGAGCCCGATGAGGGCGCCAGGGCACGACCTATCGCGGATCGAACATCGAGGTCATTGGAGCACCACCCGAAAAGAACCGAGACTTCGGATGCCGTGGCTTCGAGCCCCGGACCCTGTGCTCGGACACACAGTCCACAGTGCTTGGACCCTCGGAGTCGGACGTCTCGGATACCTACCACCAGTCATGGGCACGTTACCAGTAAAAAGTAACAGTGTTACAGTTACAGTTACCTAGGGGGACAAAGTAACTCTGTTACAGTTACAGTTACCGGTTTCAAAAAGTAACGTGTTACAGTTAGTTACTGCAAAAATAGTAACGCCGTTACTTTCTCGTTACAGTGCAAAAATTGAACACGGAATCGCAAACCAAAACAGTATTATTTTATTTGTTACACTATAGTGAGAAGAAAAGTAAACTGAGAAATTAGAAAAATTTAAACCCGAAGGGTGTTTCTTTTTTGCGTGATTGGCGTTTCAGCATTTTGATGAGCATAATTTATTTGCAATAATTTTTATAACTTAGTATCAACCGTTTTTTTCAAAATTGTCGTCAGCCCACGTCAATGAACATTTTGGTTTAGTTTTCACTTCGAAATGAATGAGGACAGAGATGGTCACATAATCCCCTTATGGGCAGGCCTGAACATAACAGGTCAAACAGCTTCGAAAATATAAAAGGGGAAAGGAGACAATTAGCTTCTCGTGCTTTACGAGTGTACGGAAACGCCAACTGTGGAAGTCGTGTTCACTCGAACGGCTCCGAAGAGAATGAAAAAGTTAAATAAGCGCCGGCTTTCTGCACAATATGGGGACGGTTTCCTTGAAAACTAATAGGAATGAGGAAACGGCAAACGGCTGGTTGTAAAAACAACAGCAAGGACATATCCCAGACAGCCCAGACGGAATACTCGGAGGCATCGCACGACCACCGACACCCACAGATGGTCCTCACGAGAGAACAGTGAGCCAAAGTCGGTGAAACAGACATTGTTTGCCCCGCCCCTACCACCGCGGGCGCCGCTTCCTTTACCTCCTGGTTTCGTGCTGACTCGTCCGTCGTACATTCTAGGTCGTGGGCTAAACCAGGCAATTTTTGGTTTGTTTAGTGCGTGGCCACATTTCTTTTTCTTTTTTTTCTCAGCGAAGAGTTTGGTGAAAAATACTTCAAGCTGGCAATTTCTCCATGTCCACGACAGTGGGTTCCAATTTATAGGCCTCCTGCGCTGAAGCTTTGAACAAACTGTAGCGCCCTCATTTTGGGTAGTACAAGCTCACCTGATTGAGCCTCGCACTACTTATGGCACGTTGGTTGATTTTTTTTAATTCTGTGTGGCGCTGAAGAACGAAAAAACACCTTTGGACGCCAGAAATGGGCCTGACTCAACGTTGCAAGACAATCGAAAGTGCCAAATTCATGACACCACCGCTAGGGCATGCGTCTCTTATCTCTGGGTGGTGACGTCAGAACACCTGTGTCGTGACGCTTTCATTTTGTTTTCATTTTCATGTCTACTTTGGAACGCGTGAAACTGCAACTCTTGGCTCGCTCCCAGCGTCTTAGCTTTGACGGCGTTCGAGTTTTTGTTGTTTCTTTGTATTTTCATCGCGATTTCTCGCTCCGCATCAGAGCAGGCACGCTTCTGCATGCGTGACAGTTTGAGACGCTAAAGTTTGTACTACCCAAAACAAGTCCTAACGAATCCCTTTTCGCAGCACCCCCTGGGCAACGCAGGAGGCCTATATAGTAAAAAAAAAGTAACTATAACGGCCTAAACAGTTACAGTTTCCCGATAAAAAGTAACAGTGCTACAGTTACAAGTTACCAGTATTAAAGAGTAACGCGTTACAGGTAAAAGTTACCGAAAAAAAGTAACTAGTTACCGGTAACGCGTTACTAGTAACTAGTTACTGCCCAAGACTGCCTACCACCTACCATCATCCGGACCGCAGTGATCCGCACCATCGTCATACCGCACCGCATACCGTTATCCGCACAAAGAAATAATCCTGGGAAGAGTGATAATTATATAATACTCATGTGTTATGTAACAGTATATGGCATAATCAGAAACACTCATCACGTTATTCTTATCTGAATTTCACAAGTGTGTGTGATCTATTTGAATTATTTTATTTTTATACGTGTCCGTTGGCCGGATTGCATCCATTGTATCAGTGCGCCAGACTTTCCGTTCCCGGGCACGCCAGCGTTCTAGTGGTTGTGTAGCGGCGGCAGTTTTGTTTCTTTTCGGAGTCAAACGGCCTGTCAGGTCAGAGCCTCCTATATAAGTGTACAATGCCCGTCAGCTCGTGGCTCCGGCAATGCAAAGGCGGCCGGCAAAAAGTGCGTGTGGTTCCCGCGTGGCGGCGCCAGCTAGGCGTACATGTTGTGTTGTGCGGTGAAGCCCATGGCCCTTCCCGAAGGGAGCAGAAGATTCGCCGGACGTGCTCGGCGGCCAAATGGCCAAATATCGGCGTGCACGGCGGCAACTCGGTGAGAACCCCATGAGCCGCTGTGATTGGACTCGAACCCCGGATGAGGAGCAGTATCTGGGTTACAACGCAATATCTTAACCTGAGTTGTGCGTAAGTAGGAAAAGCGCTGCGGTAATAATAATTTCCGCCAGCAGGGTTTCCAAGCTCGAACGTCAGAAGAGAGCAAAATTAGGTCAGGCAAGGCAGTGAAACGTCGGTCGAGAGTTCGGCTTTCTATATTACGCAGTCGCGCTGGTCAAAGGCTTTCCATATGATAATATTGCATCGTGTCTAAATTTTCAGCATGTTAAATTATCTAAATGAAAAAAAAAAAAAAAATGTTACGTCGTGAGCAGTGATAAGCAAGAATCGAGCTGTGTCTAAATAAGGGACAGCAGTTCTGCTGAAAGAAGTTTTGCAACAACATTTTGTCTCCCTTTTTTATAATTGATGCGTTTCAACGCATTAAAACAAACCCTAGCAACACAAAACATTGCTGCAGTGTTGTGCTATGCTACCGGTGGAACGTGATCGAGTCACGTTGCAGTGACGAGTGCTGGAAATCCGACCAAATTTAAGGGAAAACCGACTTGTAGCAGGTGCTGGATTTATTAGCGGGAGTAAAGGCACCCAGTAAACTCATTGGAAACAAATATAATCTTTATACATATATCATAATTTGCGCAGAAAAACCAACTCGGACACAAAATCACTAAATGCCAAGGCCAAATAAAATAGATATGAACAGAGTTCCGCTTGACTAAAGGTAGAAAAAGAAAAAAAAAAAAAAAAACACTGCTCTAATCTACTTTTGCGTGCACTCTACCTCACCTTCTGAAACTTCCGAGATAGAGGCTTTCGTGCAAACATCTTAAATCTATCGTTCCTGTCTGTGTGACAGAAGGCATAGTTAACAAGGAGCGGTCTGAAGAACTTTGTGCAGACAAGATGGATCAGTTCACGGCGATGAGCCTTGTTGTTCGTTGGGCAGAGCAGCAAAGGAGAGTCATACACTGCTGGCAGTGCAAACTTCACAAGAGTTTCGAGGGGCTGCCAATTCCTGAGGTTGTACGACAACACATCCGCTGCAAACATCCTGAGGACATTGAGAAGGTGGGCAAGTTCATCTGAGGGATACAAAAGGCCTCCCCGGTCCAGGTGGTTTGTGATCCCTTGCAAGGCACTGTTTGTCTTCGGCTTTGTAAGAAGAGGTATGCAGAAGAAGCATGAAAAGTGTTCTTGTACAACACGGGCAATGTAGCCCCCAACGTGCGCTGTCGCCGACAGCTCGAGGCTTGGCAGGTATTGTACATTGGGATCTGACAGCTTTTCTAAGATTTCCGCTGCACTCTGTGGAAGTTGGAATGGCGTGGCAGCTGACACTGCTGGTGGTATGCACCGAATTGCTGAAGTCATACCCGATGAGGTCGAGGCAGCATGTGACACATTGCTCTGCTGGGAAGCTGTGATGAGACCAGTCTTCAGAATCTTTTCAATTCCTGAGATTGTAGCCCGAACGCTAAGCTGGTCATTGCACCCTTGAGATCGTCTCAATGAGCCAAACAGGGACTCAATGGCGTCGCTGCTGAACTTCCTGGTCAGTACAAATCCAAACTCTTCCTTGGTGAGAAGGTGTTGTACACATGCAACTGTCGAGTATGTTGTCAAGAGAAGGGCTTCGTAGGTTTCTGTCGTCAGGAACTGTGATGGGCTTGCCGTGCTCTTGATCTGCTCGAGATAGGCTGGGAATGAAAACTCGAGCCATTCCAGACGAGGGTCGTCTGGGTGATCATACTGGCGCACATCTGGGTAGCGTTGGTGTATGTGTTGTGTGCAGTTACTGGTATCATGCAAAATGAACCAGCGGTACACAGAGTCCATGAAGAAGATGGTTGGTCCTGCGTCCGCATACAGTAGGTCACTCGTATGGCCAGCTTGTTCCTGGAGGTGCTTGAGCACAGCTGTCACTTCAGGGGAGAAGAGCTGGACTGCTCTCTTGGCATTCATTTTCTCTATGTTGCTAGGGAAAAGATGTTTGCGACTCAGGAACCTGACTGGCTTGACAGCCGCCTCTCTCTGGAGCTCGTACAACTTCTTGAGGTAGAAGGACTTGATCTCATTGTCCTTTCCAAAGTTGCGTTCCAGGAATTGGGACCGTATATTCTTCAAGATGTGAACATAGTCAAAGCTAAGGAACAGAATCCTCTCCGGGTCATTTGGGTGCAGGATATGATGTGTAAGGAGTCCCCCACAAAGCTGCTTCATTGCATTGACATTCACTCGGTGATTGTCAGTTACAATCCGGAGTACTTTGAAGCCAACGTCTTCCACCTTGCCCAAGACATGAAGCAGAAGCTTGGCCAGTTCGGTCCCTGTTAACCCTTTGGTAAAAAAGTAGGCAACAGGGATCCGGTATGGAATGCTGAGCCCATTCATAAGAAAGCACAGCAGCGAATTTGCCAGGATGGGCTGCTTGGTCTTTTCAGTCAATGGTCCCAGGTCCACTTGGCCCACAAAGACATCCTGCTGCTTGTTGTACTGCAAGCTCTGTTTGATCTGCATTTCATCAATAATGAGAGAGCATGTCCTTGATTGTGTGTTTGCCAGGTTGTGTAGTTCTGTTTGAAGCCGAGCCTTCGCCAAGTCGCTGAAGCCAGTTTGACCTGAGGCAGCTCCAATGTAGCTTTGCAGAGTGTTCCTGCTGGGAAGTTTAAAAAGCTCTTCAGACCTTATGTGTTCATAGGCCTTCGTAGAAATGTGTCTCAGCAAAATGCAGTGACGGATGGTATGTTCTGTCCACCTTGGGCTTTTCTTGTGGTAGTTCTTTACTTGGTCGACTAAAAACATAGCTGATATGTTCTTTTCCTTTGCTTGTTCACGGATGTTAAGAAAATTTGTGACATCATCTTCTTCCCTCAGGTTTCGCAACTTTTCCAAGTCTTTTTTGTATCTGTCAACCGTGTTCTTGAGTCTCACCACTTGGTTTCGCAGGGTGGTGACTCGTCGGGTCCATCTACGTTTCTCTACGGTTAGTTGTGCTGACATTTTTCGAACGTTTGCCTGTGTTCCTTGATGGGTGAACAGCACTGGCTGTTGGCATGGCCTGCTGTCTGGCACTTCTGATGCCTGCCTGTTTTGAGGCTCCAAGGTGCTCGCTGGAGATGTCCAGATGATTTGGATTCGTTCAGCACCTTCATCGCACAGAAAGGAGGTCGGTGGAGTGTCCAGTGTAGAGCTTGATGTCGCATCAGTCACTTGCGAACTGCCTGTGTCCAGGCATTGCCTCTTCTTGGGAACTTCTGATGAATATGGAGTGCTGCACTTCCTTCTGATAGCGTCCTTCATCTTAGTGATATTTGAGGGCGGCATGCTCCAAAAGATGCTTGGGATAGCGCCTTTCTTCAGCTTTCGGCGTTTGCCCTCAACATAGTCGGATGGCACAAAGTGCCGACTGCAAACCATGGAGTAGGTTGATGGCAGCCAGTCATCTCTCTTGATTGCTTGTAGCCAGCTCGCTCGTTCATCCGGGTCTGATGGTATTTCGTGGAGTGCAAAGTTCCTTTCTTGACCTGGCTTCCGTCTGCTTGAACCACAATGTGGTATGCAGCAGGTCATGCCTGGAATAGGACGTCATGATTAGGGCCAAACCATCCTTTTCTCTTCCTTATCTGAATATAATAGTGATCACTCGTGTATCTGCAATTAAATGCTTTGTCATCTTCTGTGTGTAACATTCTTTACATATGTGAACTTCGACTGACAAACTGAGCGCATTGTCGTAAAAGGAGTATGTTCAGTGTTTATTTGTAACATATTTGGGGTTCTGCGTATTGGATTTCATTTCTGAGCAAAATGCATGCAGAGTTTTTCGGAGTTTTAGTTTGTGGTACATGAAATTCAGAGTGGCTTTTCTAGCCGAAGTGAATGAAAGGTAGAAAGCAGCAGTTTCCAAATTTAGTAAAGGAGCCTTTTCATGTGTGAAACATAATCGATTGTGGTTGTAGGGAGGCTAGCTTATTTTTATTACAAAAGACTAAACAGCAATTTTGTGACACCTACAATTGGAAATTGACACTAAAAACGAAGTGAATCGTAAGCTGGCTCGCGGAACCACGGTGATATAAAGGCCTGTTGGGTTTATTAAAGCTGGCAGACCCAAAAAATTTTGAGTTTTTACGACAAATCTAAATTGACAAAATTTATAAATAACAAAATTTTTTATCGGCAAGTGTTTTCTGGTTTTTATTGGCTTTATTCAAAAACGCAGAACCTATTACAGGTTTAAAGGGACACTGACAGTGTATTTATGCTTGCCAAGGTTTTATTTGTACATTACATATGAGAGCCCAATTACCCGGAAAACGATTCGCTGCTCAAAATTTGTTTTCTTTCCGATCGAGAACTGGCCGGTTTGAGTCGCGCTTTTACTCTCTTCCCTGTGGCCATATGCCGTTTTTCATGGTTTAGACACAACCACCAAAGATCAGAGTCGTACGTCATCGAAGGCAGGCACACAATATTAGAAATGGAAAAGACATATGATGCCCATTATTTGTGGCTTCTAAAAAGCTGCAAATACGTTGTTTTGGGGGGGAAAGAAGTATCACAGCCACCTCTCTCCTCTTTATATATTTCTTCTTCCTCCCCAGTCCATTAAAACTTGTTGGCCTAGTTGCTTCATGGTGCAGTCTAGTAGTGTTTGCGCGACAGAAGGAAGTAGAGGGGCTTGTCCGTGTCTACTCACTTATTGTCCCTTGTGTCGCACAAAAACTTCTAGACTCCCCAGTCCAGTTTCGGTTTCGGTTTCAAGCAGTTGCGTTTTTTTTTTTTTTTTTAATTTTATAAAAAAATATACGTGACGCTGTAGCAACATATTGATTCGATAGTCTTCTGATACCATAATAAATCGCCTGGCAAAAAATTAAAAAAAAAATTTTGGGGGGTGTCAGTGTTCTTTTGTTTTATAATGGTTTATTTAACACCACTTGCGAAGTACACAAATGTTTGTGAATAAATGCTTCGAAACTCAAGCTGGATTTTCTCAGTTGATTTTTTCAGAATGGTAACGTGTTAGCTACTGGACCACTTCCTTAAACTATCTCCCAGGAGTTTGTTTTTCGGCACGTATATGTGTTTGTAGTCATATAAGCAAGTATGCTAGCGCTAAATGACGCTGATTTATTTCAATATGATGACCTGCCTATGGAGATACTATGTAAATGATGCCTAGCACGTACCAGTGCTGATATATGCACTATTTTCGCTCCAAACAGGCTTCTAAAAATACGAAATGTCACCACATCTGTAATAAAGCTAAATTAATCCTCATACTGATATGTGGTCTACGTGTCAGATGAGACCTAAATAAATTGCAAAAAATTCGTATTTGCGAGCTACAACACTGTAATTTATCACGCAAGTTCGGCTAGGTGGTGAATTTAGTTACTTAAAATATCAAGAAAAATACTTCCCTCAGTCAAAAGTTACAAGGGAAAATCAATAAATTACCACGTATCTCGATCTAAAAAAAAAAAAAAAAAAAAAAAAGAAACCGTGGTTGTAGGCCATTGGGGTGCTTGATTTAACAAAAGCGTGGACGGGACAGCCTTGATTTCGTCCCCCGTTTTTGTCTACCAAACGTCCCAGTGGCCCACAAGATTGTGGCTTCACCTTATGTCGGCCCATAGAACTTTGCTTGTTTTTTTGAGTGGGTCAAGTCTTTCCTTTTTTTTTATTTTCAGAAATAAAATCCACTACCGAGCCGAACTTCTGCGGGCAATTACACTGTCGTAGCTTGCAAATCCGATTTTTTAAAGATTCATCTAGGTCTCGTCTGACATCTGGACCACGTACGCTGTATAAATTTCGGTAATGTGCGAAGCGCAAGAAAATGATTTCTTTTTTTATGTGCTACTGGCAACTGATGAAAGCAGGCGAGACATAGACATGAAACCGATATAAGACATGAGATGTTTTGACGAGGGGAGAGAGTGGCAGATTTTATATTTTCTCAAGAGCCGAGCTGGTATATGTGCAATTTTAAAATGACAGTTGAACCACCAAAATATAGCATTCCGTAGTTTTCTTATACAGGCGTGCTATAAAATTATTTGAGACATACGCTACTTCTCTGGAAAATTGTTTGACGGAACATTAGGACGTTTTCGCGTCTAGAATGCTCTGTTTTGGGGTCGCGCATGCAGTTGCGCCGCTATTTACCGGGCTTGTGAGAGCACTAAATGGTAGCTTCGCGGTGATTATTTGCGTTCATATTCATTATATTATTTAGAGTTATTCTGTCACTCACCTGCTAACAGTCGTTGCACGCCGTTTCCGTCCCCGCCCGAGAAAGCGCCGAAATTCCGTTTTAGCAGACGAAGCGTTCGGCGGTAGCGCCGCACCAGCGCCTCCTGGCTACACTTACCTTGGTTTAGCACAGAAGTCGTTTGATGGCGCCACTTACCCGTACACGGCACGTGTACCGCCCTGAAAGCGGAGCTGACAGGCATAGTACACTTATCTAGGAGGCTCTGGTCAGGTGTTGTTCTTTCGCTGCTTCTGTCTAAAATAAGCCGCACCGTGAGCCCGGTACAGTGACAGTTCATTGAAACCTACACATCGAAAGCGCAGATATTGGACGCCGATGGAGATCGGAGGTGAAGACGGCACATGCTTTCCTCTGTCGTGTATGGGGTAAGTACATGAACTATATTTTTGTTTTATTCTGATCACTTCAGGAAGCCCCATTGCCTAACAAATTCCATATAAAGAGAGAACCAGGAAAGTGATGCTGTAATGTGCAAACTATACTCGAGACAAGGGAGAAACAGTAAACGATCGCACGTTTCGTTCAAAAGCAACCTCTACTGAAGTATTTCAAGTGCTGAAACACGAAACGTGCTATGTTTGGCTCTACGCTTCTGGTAAGAACATACGCGATAAAAACTGACTGGCTATCGTACGAAATTGCAAACTTAAAATAAATTACGTGAAAAAAAAAAAAAGATCGCGTGGATATATACCTTTCTTGAAGCCGTATTTTGTATTTCCGGGGAGCCCATTTCCTATATTTGTGCTAATATTGGGATGGGTTTCGCATGTACTCAGTTTCATGCGAGTTAACTCGCAAGTGTTGCATGCTTCCTGCGTTTTCTCCTGTTTTTTTTTTTTATTTATTATTTTTTGCTGGCAGCCTTTTGATTCAAATGCCACAGGCCGTTTGCCGTCAGTAGGAAAATCCCTACCCAATTCCATCTCTTGCCCTTTTATTTTCTACTCGGATGGCACCGTTTTCCTTATTGGAATTCCGAGTTACTGTGAACGACGTAATTTTCGTGGACTCAAATTTTCGCGAATCGGGACAAAGCTGCAACATTGGAATTATTCAAGGGTTCTAATTTTTGCGAATCCAGACTGACAACAGCCCCTCCCTCCAGCCCCCTGCCCAATTGTCCTTCTGTTCTACTATCCTAGGGATCCACAGTTTCAGTTAGTCAAGATCTAGGAAGGGAAAGACTGTGGTAGGTTGCGTGACTAATAGTCCAGACTTCACCGCAGCTTCGAGACGCTGACAAAGGCCGGGTTAGTGTTCACGTCGGTTTTCTTCGACGTGAACCTTTCTCGAGTTCACTTTTTGAGGTCACACACTCAGCATGAAACATAAGCCGACTCAAAGTAGGGTTAGGGGCCAAACTAACTTGGCCGCGTTGTGTGGTCGTTGACGCCAGCATGCTCTGTGTGAGTGTGGTACATCTTCTTGTGCCCGTCAGTCTGCTGTCCCGCGATGTCATTATTACGTTACATCGAGCCAGTGGTCAAGAGTGCAGAAGATCATCATACACCGGGACTGCCTGATCCACAGGTATGCAAGCCACACATGACAAACATCCTTTCGCTTTGGCAAATCAAAGTGTTATTGCCGCTTCTACCACCGTGGACTCTCTAAAGCGGAAACGAGGGCCCTACTCTGCTTATGATGACAAACTTAGATGCAAGATTGGAAAATAAGCTGCAGAAAATGGGACAATTGCTGCAGTCAGGAAGGTTTCCAATGGAAGAGAAAAGCTTCTCAATGAGTGCGCCGTTAAGGGAATGAAGACTACCTCTGTCCAAGCCTGCAAGTCCGGTCATCCGGCAGAGCTGGCTAGCTTACCTAGAAGACTTCGAGGTGTCAAGCCTGTGCTTGGAAACTTTGATGATGACATACGGGCATACATTGTGGAGCTCAGAGAAGCGGGCAGAATTGTAAACACCAGGATTTGCATTGCTGTTGCACTGGGCATTGTGCGGACGACCAAGCCCACACTCTTGCCAGAGTTTGGTGCGACTCATTCTCAACAGACCCTGGGCAAGATCTTTCCTGCACAGGATTCGTCAAGAAAAAGGCCACGAGGACTCTGAAATTTTCCAAATGATTTTGAGGGTGCCAAAAAGTTCCTGCGTACTATCAACAAGAAAAAAAGAAATAAAAAAAAATATTTTCAATTACTTGGTACTTAACTGGGACCAAACAGGTGTCAAGCTGGTTCCGGCCAGCGAGTGGAAGATGGAGGCCCAAGATTCCAAGCAAGTTGGGTGGTTGGTTTGGACAACAAAAGGGAAGTCGCCGTTTTGATGTCTATGACACTTTCTGGCGACCTCTTGCCTCCTCAAGTAATGTATGCAGGGAAAACAGACAGGTGTCATGCCAGGGTGAAGTTTCCAACTGACTGGGACATGTGGCACAGTGACCCAGTCAGTTTCCAACTGACTGGGGTATTTGGCAACGCAATCACAATGCTATGGTTTGTTGACACTGTTCTTCTGTACGTGGAGACGTGCATGAGTCGTGTGGGTGATGGTATTTTTAACGTCTTCACTGCACATTGTACAAAGTCTTTGCACAAACTAGCTGCAAACAACATTGGGTATGTCTTCGTCTCAGTAAGCTCTACGGGACTCCTGCAACCGAACAACCTAAACATTAACAATGTGTTCAAGACTGCCATGAGGAACCGCCTGACTCAGTGGTATGCCGGATGTGTACAAGAGGTGATGGAGAAAGGACAAAGTGCCACTGACGTTAAGATTGACTTGCGAGCAAGTGTTACGAAGCCCGTTCATGCAGCGTGGCTGATTGAAGTGTACGCGGATTTCGGGAACCGTAAAGATGTGATACGAATCGGCTGTACTTTGGGAGGAACTGTCTGAAGGTCCCAAATAAAATTCTTGAGGTGAGCGTGAATTACGACTTATTGCATTATTTACTTTGTGATAATTTTTTATCTTATTCACATATTGCATATAATGATATTCTGATACTTTTTAATGCGTGTTTTCCCGGTGTCTCAATGTTGCTTTCGAGTAGGGTGACCACCCGTCATGCAACTCGCGGGACTGTCCCACATTGAAGGCACGTGTCTCACGTTCCGCGAAAAATTCCCAAATCTTCAAAATGTCCTGCATTTCACACTGTCGTAAAATTCACTCCGCAACTCATAGTGCTGCCGAACAAAGGGGCATGGGGAAGTGCGGAGGTCACCGGTAATCGTGTGAATCGAAATGGTACGCCATTTCCTATCCAAGCGTTGCGGGAAGTGATTGTCGTTCTTGCAGGAGAGCCGACGCGCATGCGCCGTTGTGCCACTCCCTTTGGTGGCAAAATATTGTAAGAAAAATTGCTCGTCAACAGTTTAAATATAAAATATTGTAATTGTTTTCAAATCGCTGTGTCAATGCAAAAAGGTTGCTGTGGATTTTTTTTTGGTGAAGACGGCCACACTCGCAACAGTCAAAAAAGAACATCATGTTAAGAATTTGTGTAGGACCATGTTGATGAAAGTAAGCAATGACAGGAAACAATAACCCGAAAAAGGTTTATTGTTTCTTATTTCCATTTGATGCATTGAGTTCTGATATAGTCGGTTTTTGTTTTCAACTTCGACACATTTAATAACATGCTTGGCATTCAAATAAATATATCACTGGGAGTGGAAATTATTTGAGCTTAATTGCTGCAATACAAGTAGCAGGTGTATAAGGAGTAGGAAATAATAAATGTGTTAACAGAGCCTTGCTTTGTTTTGTGCGTGTTAACAAATTTCCTCTACCCCCTTGCCCCTCTTGTCCTGCATTTCGCTAGCAGGAAGGTTGTCGCCCCTCAAATCAGAGGCGATTTGCGAAATTCGCGAAAGTTAGGTTCACGCGAAAAGTAAGTAATTTATTGTAGGTTGATGCTTTCCAATTTCGCAAAATTGTTATGCATTTGCAGTTACGGTTCAAAATGGAAAGATCACAACCATGGGCTGCTGAATCATTCAATTTTATGTGTATACCGGTACTACCGTACCAGCAGAGCTGTCCATAGAGAAATTTTGGTCAATGGGAGAAGTGGGCAGAGTCAAGGCATGCACCAGATGCAGATAGAGGGCTTGGCATGCTTTCTTGGCCGACCAGAAGGCGAAAAGAGCCCCCTAGCGGTGGTGGCTAGAAACTGTTTTAATAAGGGCGTAAGAGTTAGATTTAGTAACTCTCCATGTTTGAAAATAGGGTGTACGTAGTGTTTCGTTCATGATTGGGCAAAAAAATGTAAGAAATGAATGTGCGCTCAAACTGTGTTTTGCTCAAAGTGTGACCGCTCACGCGGCAGATTTTCTGGCTTCAGCGCCTGGTGTACGGATTATGTTGATCATTCCGCTAGTCGCGCCGTTCCACCATGATTTTGGATGACCGTACTTGAAATGTCTCATGCACCATATTTTCAGTCACCGAGAGTTACCCCGAAGCACTTGTTAATTTCATTTGTCGCGACCACCGTTAGGGCATAATTTCCGGCTTCTGGTTGGGAACATTCTAATTTTTTAAGACACCCTGGAACACGCCCAGCCCGCTTTCGGCCAATGGCGCCTCCTCATTTGCCTCCTGTACTTCCCTATGAATGGCAAAACTCTCTCTATACACGGCTCTGCGTACCAGGTCTCCTTTGAGTTCTTTGTCTGTGCTCGACTGTTTTGGTGGTACATTTTACAGATATCGTGGCTTTTTCCAACAGTATAACCTCGGCAACTCACGACTTCGGCAAGTTGTGTGTTGAACACCGTGAGCTAAAAGTTCATACAATGAGTAAAGAGATACAAGTGCCTGTGCTTGACTGGAAACGGTCACGTGTTAATGATACTTGAGGTTGAAAGCCTTAGGAATTAATGAGGACGGGGTAGTGTTTTAACAACTCTTCAATCGAGGGTTTTAAAATAGGGATATAATACAAGTTTTGGGATTCTGTGATTTTGTGACCTGTCTCCCTTCCGTGTTGAATCACATACTTCTGGTAACGGATTTGGCCGAGGTCCTTGGTTTTGCGGGCGACGAAAGGAGGGTGGACGATAAAAAGAATTACAGTCACACAGAAGCGATTAGATGATTTGTTGGAAATTATCTAGGGAAGATTGAATGATACACAACTAACTAGCACAGCTGGGGACAGGCAGGACAGAGGAAAATTAGAACTCTTTCCTTTGCGGCTCCGGTCCAAAGTCTCAACCCTGTCTCCTAGTGGGTCCGGCGCTGGGGTAACGGCGACAAGGTTTGACCAGAGGATTGCTTGAGGAAAGAGGGGGTGGGAAGCAATGTTTTTAGTTTTTTTTGTTTGATCCCCCAAAGGTGATCCTGGTATATCCCACACTGCCCGGGGATAGTTAGGGGGAGAAAATTGGTGTTAGAAGGGTGGGAGGAATCGTATGTTTGTCTTTATAAATTTAGGCTAGAGGGCGCAAGCTACTGCCTGTTAAAAGGGTATAGCCATTCACATTCATCTATCCATCCATTCCTGTTGCCATATTCATTTTCGGCTGACGGGTGTTGTGTGTGTTTTCCTATGGTGTTCGCGTGCAATGACAAGCGCACATTCAAGTTTGGCTCTGAATGATCGAGCTCGTTGCGAGCAAACATTAATGATTCGACGTTCATCGACCCGTTTGAAACGTATCACCAAACAAACTCAGTAATGTTTAATGAAGAGCAACATTTGCACCCATAAGTGACCTGACCCGAGATGACATGGCACACCGCGAGGAGCTACGTCGACATGACTTTGAGTAAACACCCATTCGTACAGTTGCACTTGACTACGCTATGACAAAGTGCGATAGCAAGTTCCCAGAACATGCGGGCATCGTATATTGCGCACAAGGCTGCTCTTCCAAATAATTGCCATGCTTAAATTCATACTTGGCAGCAGGGACGGCCCGGTGACTGACAATTGTAACTCGACGTAAGTTCCCACAACGTAGTTAAACGCTAGCTTTGTATAAACCACGGCTACACGACAGCAAATTCAGTGATTAGTCTGTCGCACGACATATGTGAAGCACATACGTCCTGGTAGTGTATCGACGTAACTTCATCAAGCGTATTCAAAGTTCAGACAGGCTGCTGTGTGAATCTGGCTGTGCCAACCGAGAAACGGATCGAGCGTGCGAGTGCTTGACGTTTCATGAGATGTGCGATGCCAACGCCTACTCTGGTCACACCTGTGTCCCGCGCCACATGATCATTCCTCGTCTTCTCTTGCGACTTTCCCCTGCTTGGTGGCGCCCCCTGAAGGTATTAGATTTTTGCGGGACACTGATCAGTCCTATCCTTTCTGGTCACTGCGTGGGCATTGCAGGGTTAGTTACTTTCGAACAGTGTATCTTTGTCGTAATTCACAATTGCCTAGGATTATAAAGTGCCCTTATCCCCGCATTAATAAACCCAATTAAAACAACTACAAGCTCATCATTAAATGATAACTTCATATGTTGAAGAAGTAAATATGATTTGCTAATAAAAACCTCTTGGCCTGCCCGGCTCCGCATCCCATTTTGTTGATGAAGTGATCATTGACACACATTCCACACTACGTCCAGCAATGTTTCGTTGCTACAGCTGTGTTTCGTTAACAAGACAAGCTCGCATCACCGTCTATGTGCCACGGGCACAGCAACGGTGTTCATCACGCGGGAAACAAAAAATCACTTTCGAGGCTTGGTTTACAACTTCTCACAATCGCATGGTGCATCCTTAAGCACATTACCAGGTGTCTCGGCAGAATGTAACCTATGCACAGAAGCAATAAAAGCACTCTGACTTAAGAGCACAATCTCATACACAAGAGCCAGGTCACTCCAAAACCGAAAATCATTTAGGCAACAAGGTGCCTGGATGACAGAAAATCAGAAGTCGCCAAAAGTGGGTGTATAGCTGCTAAAAAAAAGTGATGTGCCGCGTCTGTGTCGTTTATTTTGTATAAAAAAAAGTTATAGGCCATTATTGTTTTGCTTTCACAGGTATGTTTTTAGTGTTCATCCTATCCAGGAAGAAGACACAAGGACCCGCCAGGCCTGCAGCAAACAGCTTACATGAACTGTTCAAAGTGCAAAGTGTGCATCGCACGCAAAATACAAGGTGACTCATAGCGCTCTCTGCGGGCACCGACGACGCTGGGTGGTACAAGCTGCCACTCAGTTTAAAGGGTTCAGCTGCATGCATTCATCTCTTCATTTTCAGGCGCAGTGAAGTTTGTATCTGATGTTGCAGCGACTTGATGCTCCGCTAATGTGCACCGCACTGATTTCAGGGCAATTCTCGATTGCAGATGCTATTTGTCGGCTTAAGCATGGCCACGGTCACGCCGCTTTGATATCTAGGTGTGCGCTGACTTTGAAAAGTGTTTCCAGCTAGGCGTAAAACGTGGAGCCATGGTGTAAACTGCAAATGAGAGCTTAGCAGAGGCACGCATCAATGAAACTATGTTTCAATATAAAAGTGACTCTACGACGCACGAGAACAGATCGTGGTTCGGCTATGGCCTTGTCCGCTAAGTGCGAACTTGATGGGGAGATTCCGTGATGACCCTGATGACACACCTCGCGATGCCGTGGTCGAGTGGATTACAAAGCATCGAGTCTGTCACGGGAGGGCAATGACAGGATCTAGAGCTATGAGAGAGGAGGCCTAGCTACTGCACCCCAAGCACTTAACTAGAACTCTGCCCATGGGGACAACAACAATGATGCAGCGCTCTGCTGACGCAGCCAAACGCTGTGTTAGCATTCAGCTGGGGCTCATGTCCTCCTATCGTTCCAGCAGAGGCTCTTTTGTAGCCGTTCTGGCAATGCAGTATTGCACCGTGCTTGCGTCCAGCATCTGCTCGGTGCAAAGGCCACAGTGGGTTAAGCTTATGAGGTGTGGCTGAAAAGTAATGAGGCTGACCTTGTTTTAACCATCAGTTTTGTTATTTTTACAAATTAAGGTTATCCCCTTGAAGTAGTTCCCTTGGGAAGCGACACACCGAGAGGGGTACTGCTTCCATTGTTTCTAGCAGTGCCGGAAGGCTTCTGCTGGAATGCCTTTCAGCTCGTGGGTTGCACTCCTGGATGTTATTTGAGGCACGATAATCCCTTGTTATACACAAACTCAACTCTGTGACGTCACAGCGCGGTGGTGGCGCATCGGTCGCACTTCCGGTCTGGGGCTGTGGGCAGAAGTCCCCATGCCAGACGTGTATTCCTGCGTTGTTTTGAACGAACCAGACAAAAGTCTGCCTTCTCGTGAAAACGCCGTGACTGGAGCCGAAGCAAAGGTGTCGAGAAAGGTTTGAAGGTCAGTTTTCACGAGCTCGGTTCATTCGAGAATCTGGGTATGTGCTGTGAAAAGGGACAAGCAGATGCCTTTGGACGACGATTGCTTGGGTGGGAAGCACTTTCGGTTGAATTCAGGGATACTTGTGGTCATCAGATTTACTTGTTTTGTTCCAACATGAACGCCAGAAAACAGTCAAGTTGTGCGGACCACCTGCGGACTACATTCAGTGCATCTTCAAGTTCAAACGGCTGCCTGATCGTTCAAACTGTTGTCTGCTCTTTCAAATGTTTCTGCTTGTCGTCTGCTCTCTTAGACGACGCCGGCACGTCTTAGTGAACCCCCTTCACTGAGACATGAAGGGGGAAGCAGCAGCATTGTGGGTTCTAGTACAGTATTGCCAGTCTCATAATTTTCTGCCACACCCTGTAAATCCCCTTACAGCTGCTTTTAAGGGGCCCTCTAATAATTTTTTAACTGGTTGTAAATTTGCGCCGAAACCGACCTTATCGAACATAGGAACAGGGAGACAAGATGTGTTTCTGAAACTTCACATTATGAATTTCCACAGTAGGAAAAATTTAGTGATTGGAGGGTTTGAGCGAAGCGGATGGCCAATGGGCTGTGGGTTATGCTAATGGCTGCAGTGTCAATGACATGCACGCGTTGTAGCCTCGTCGCTAAAGCAACTTGCATCGTCAAAGTTTCAGGCTCAGAACGCAATCGGCATTGCCAATGTACCTGGGCCGTTTATACTTTGGTGTCAATGAACCCAACGTGCGCCGGCGTTGATCGATGTTTGTCGTCCGCTTTGCCAAGCCCCGTCATAAAGTCTAACGCGGTGGTGCCCTCCGTAGCTCGATCTCGCCAATACTCGCGGACAACTTTCCGGAGCCCTGCTGTCGAAGCAAGGGCACTCTTCACTTCCAAATAGCTGCAGAAAGTTGTCCGCAAGTATAGAGATAGAGTATTGATAATATAGTTAAACGTGAGCGCGTTGGTTTTGATGACTTGTTACAGAAAGAAAAACAGAAAGGACGGCAAAACATTGATGGTGGCAAAACATTGATAATGTTTTGCCACCAACGTGGCCAAGCTGGGTCGTATGACTCTAGGAGAGGTGGAACTCGAACAGCTGGAAGTGTATAACTGTCGTATGTCTCCTTTGTTGCAGAACTGTTGAGAGACCATTCAGATGAACGGCCGAGCGGGAAAGGCAAGGCTTTTAGGAAACAACAGAAGAGTGGTGCATCGACGACCAGAAGGAAACATTCGCGCGAGAATACTTGCAACCCATAGACCACGAGAGTCGTAGAAAGACTAAAACAGGACGCCAGTTCCCGTAATGGACCTTTTGCCAAGGTACCCGAGCGCTGAGGAGTATGTTGGGAACACACGTAGCACGTGCAGCATGTGCGACCATGTTCGGAGCTTGCTCCTCGGTGCTCGAGTAAAGGCTGGCTTGCACATTTGCGTTTGGGTGTGATAGACTTTCATTGTAACCTCTTGTTGTTGCTTACGACTTTAGGAGACACTGACACCATGTTGTGGGTGGCCCCGGAACACTCCTGGTCGGGGTACAATGCAGAGCGCAAGTTCGTCTGCTTATTGCATGGGGGTTGCAATGATGTCTCAACGCCGAGCTCTTATTGGCTGATTGAAAAAATAGGGAGCAGACCATAAGACATCTAGCATTGAAATTTATCCGCTATCCTTTCAATAAAAGCCAATCGGAGCTCAGTGTCGTTAAGACTTCACCGCAACTCCTGCACAAGAAGCAGACGACTCGCTCTCTTTATTAGACAAGATTTTGCAGTATTTGCGACATCTATGCACTATGCACAAGACACCATTGTTTAAAATGTTGGCAATGTTATTTCAGGCCCATGCTGAAAAGGTGCTGCATAAAAAGATATATGCATGTTGGAAGTGTTCCAAGACTTCCTGACAGACAGTACCATTGTTTTCTCGTAAGCAGTTGCAAAGGGTTGCAACGCAGTCGAGTACACCCGAAAGCAAACATGTGGACCAGGCTTAATTTTGCGAAAGGTCTATTGCTGCATCCATGCAAAAACAATTTCATTAAGGCTAGGATGCAAAAAAAAACAAAAAAAACATGTCCAGCATAATTTTAATATGCTTGTGTCTTGATTGGTGAACTGGGTGAGAGCCACTGTTTTAATTGTGTTGGTTGTTATAAAAGTCTGTTGTGTAGAATGGTAATTACTTGTTACCGCGTGTGTCAGTTTTTGTATTCGAAGCTTCCCTCGTGAACTGCTGGTGTACCTCTAGTTGTGCTTTGTTTGTGATGCGATTTGGTGAATTTGTTCTCTTATGTGTAAGACTGTTTTTGAGACTGTGTGGTGATGTGCTATGTTAATTCTTTAGATTTGTTAGTTCCTTTTTTTTTTGCTGTTGCAATGTCGAGCGTGGTTGGGCATAATCAGGCAAAATCTGTTTATCTTTTGCTTTCCAGCCATGACTGAAAGAGTTAAAACTGAGTTGTTATCCCAGTCACTGACATGATGAGAATGGTAGGGAGGAGTTGCATAAATTATTTTTTTCCCAAAAAGTTTTTTAATTTTTGTGCCTGCAGTGCCAGCTTCCTACCTTTGAGGACGCTCTGTCTCGAGGGTCCATGTGCAGCCAAAGTATGGCGGAACGCGTGCTGGAGGCCAGGCGTTTGGAAAACACACCACGCCATTCTCATTCTTTTAGTGGCTGTGCTGTTTCTTATTTTCTGGTTATGCTGAATGTCGTCTGGTCAAGCTGTTAATACAGCTCTTAGCCCATAGTCATTTCCAGGATGTTTTCTGTAAAGAAAGAATGTATTTAATTCAATTTAATTGAATATTCGTTTTTAAAGATTAGCAGCCGGGGCAGATTGTGCAGTTGTTGACCAGCATCCTTTTGAGCAGCTTATTGCAAACAAATGCTGTACATGTTTTTCGAAGAATCTGGGTTTGGCTGACTGCTGTTCGCAAAATTTGCGAAATATTGAGGCTTCAAATGAATATATTTTGGTAATGTTTCTTTTTGTTCTTTTTTTTTTATTAAGTCGTTGGTGTTACAAATGTGCGGTTCCGGCTGAGCATGAAGGCCGCTTCACACACTCGTGACTGAAGAGGCTTGAAGACTGGTTTTAAACTTCGCGTGATTTTTTACAACCGGGTGCTCTGCTGCGCAGCTGTTCCTAAGCACTTGCGAGGGGCTTAAAAACCGGTTGTGGCGCAGTCGGTCCTAGCAAAACGCAAGTGTGCGAACCAACGTTTATGCCGTGCTTCACTCTTAAGTCCGACCGCAGCCGACGCTACGTACAATGTGGCCAATCAAGCACCGCCAAAAGCACAATGTCACGGTGGTCATCGTCTTCGGGCAGTTACCAAGGGCAACTAAATTTCATTTCATTTCATTTCATTTATTTACCTCAAGGGCGTCTTTGAGGACGCATTACATGAGGGGGGTAGGTGGTACATGCATTTGTAACAACATAGTAACACAATTTTCCAAACAGAATCATTGGTATAACAAAATCATCGCAATCAGCCCAGCACAGTTTACAAAAAGGAAATCACATTGTACGTACACAACTGCAATTTTGAACTGGACGTAACTATGTATAAAACAACAATTTCAATATGGAGAAACGGAAAGCGACTATGAAAACAACAAACAAGCATGTACGTGTACTATTCATGCCACAGGCGCTCGCACATTGTTCTAAATTCAACGGGATTTGTGTTAGTAACCATCTCGTCTGGAAAGTTATTCTATTCAGTAATCGATAATATTAAGGGTGAAAACAGGAAGGAATTAGTGTGTGACTGGTATTGCTGCACCTTACAGGAATTATTGGTTCGAGGAGAAATATAATGTGCGGAATGACAATAGGTGTTTTTAAAGCACGAGTTGCTGTAGTATAAGTCATGAAAGTAACATATGCGGTAAATATTGCGCCGGGTAGACAATGGAGTGAGACCCAAATTTGTTTTTAAAGCTGAGACACTAGTTTGAGGCGAAAAGTCGTTTGATATGAACCGGGCTGCTTTGCTTTGGACAGATTCTAATTTCGAAGAAAGATAATTTTGATGCGGATGCCATATGATACTTGCATATTCTTGTTTAGGGAGTATGATTGTTTTATATGCTAGCAGTTTTGTTGAAGGGGGGGCCAAGTGTAGGGTGCGCCTTAAGAAACCTAGAGATTTAAATGAGTTGGTGACTAAGTTATCGATGTGTTGTTTCCATGAGAGAGTTTCAGAGATGTTTACTCCTAAGTATTTGTATAGTGGAACAAATTCGAGTTGCTGCATGAGTAATGTATATTGGCTGTATGATTTGTTTGAATTCATAGTAACGGTCATTTGTTTACATTTGTTGGGGTTAACCGTCATCTGCCATTTTGAGCACCAGGAAGATATAGCATCAAGGTCATTTTGGAGGACGTTATAATCTGTCGGGTCTAAGATTTTTCTATAAATAACACAATCATCTGCAAATAGCCGGATAGTTGAGGTAATTGAAGAGGGAAGATCGTTGATATAAATGAGAAAAAGAAGGGGGCCGAGAACGCTACCTTGGGGGACGCCTGAAGATACTGGGACTGAGTTAGATGAAGAAACATTCACCGAAACTGACTGTTGTCTATTTGTTAGGAACGAAGCTATCCATTTTATTACTACAGGGTTAATCTGGAGGAGAGAAAGTTTTAGGAGTAGTCGTTGGTGGGGGACCGTATCGAATGCTTTGGCAAAGTCTATAAATATAACGTCTGTTTGTAGTGAGGAATGATTATTAAAATGAAGATCCGTGACAAACTCAAACAGTTGACTAGTACATGAGTGGCGCTTTCTAAAACCGTGCTGGTTGGGGAAAAAAAAGTTGCGTTGATCCAGGTATGAGATAATATTAGAATAAACAACGTGTTCCATAAGCTTACACGGCACACTGGTGAGTGAGATAGGTCTGTAATTTGATGGATTTGATTTGTTGCCTGATTTGAAAATGGGTTGAACTCGGGCGAATCGCCAGTCAGCTGGTACATCAGCAGAATTTAAACTTTGTTGAAAAAGAGCGCTGAGTATTTTTGATGCTGAGTGCTGCGTGATTTTTAGTAGTTTGGCCGAGATACCATCATTTCCAGGGGCGCTATTAGAAGACAGGTTTTGAATTGCCTTGTAGATTCCTTTCGGGATGAACAAGATTGGAGGCAAGCATATTTCCTGATGAGATAGAGAGTAAGATGGCAGTGGAAATATTTCACGTGTACATACACTAGAAAAGAATGAATTTAACGAATTGGCCGTCTGGTCATCACTAAGTGCCTCCCCCTGGTCGTTTAGAAACGAAGGGCTATTCTTAGTGTCTTTTGGATTAACTATTTTCCAAAACTTCTTGGGGTCCGTGGAAAGAATGTTAGGTAGGGTGACGGAAAAAAAATGTTAATTTTGCTTTTTTTACTTCGGATTTACACAACTTTGAATGAAAGTGATATGATGACCAAGCAGCGAAGTCGTCCAGTCTTTTTGCTTTTAAGAATAGTCTTTTCTTTTTGTTTAACATAGGTTTTAGACTGTTGGTAAACCAAGGAGATGCAAGGTCAGATGGAATAGCAGTTTTTGGCACAAAAGTGTGAAGTAATTCTATGAACATGTTTTTAATAAGGAGCCAGTTTTCACTTGCGGTTCTCTCGTCATTAGATGACATGTAATATCTTTCGAAGTTTAGTATGGCTGCCGTCATCCCATCGTTATTAGCACGCGAAAACACGAATATTTGCTTTCGAATATTCGCGGAGCGGTTAACCTTCTGTGAAGTTTGAATATGAATCAGAGCGTGGTCACTTATACTTTCCATAGTACTGATAGATGTTACACATTCTGGATTAGTGCTGAAAAATAAATCTAATATAGCATTATTACGGGTTGCTGTGGTTATCATCTGGTGAAGTCCAAACGCACTGATTATCGAAAGGAACTCTGTACACTGACGGGAATTAGCATAGTTGGGAAAGGGCAGTAATGTGGACCAGTTTATTTCAAGATAGTTAAAATCGCCAGCAAGGAAACAGTGATCACTGGGAAAATTTTGGGTTACAGTCCCAATGACATGATATAATGATATATTGAATTCAGTTCAATTGACATGAGGCGGTCGGTAACAGACGCCGATTAAGACACTGCGGTAATCCAACTTGACGCGAATCCAAAGCACTTCAAGGTCAGATAAACATTCTATTTGGAAGCATGATACAGCTCTTTTGACCGCAATGATAACACCACCGCCCCTGGCGAGGGTTCGGTCTTTCCGGAAAATAGCATATGATCGATTTAAGATGAGTTCGTCATTTGTTATATTAGGTGTTAACCAGGTTTCCGTGCCAAGAATGACGTCAGGCTTGCTACTGGACGTGATGTTTTCAAGTTTGTTTTGTTTGGATAAGATACTTCGAAAGTTAGCTACAATAAAAGAAAGATTAGCAGGAACAGTGCGATTTGTGGACTTGCGATTTACCCTTTGTCGGTCATTCCGCGCAGTGACATCCCGGCGCGTGCAAAGGGAAACAACAGAATCACTCGCCGAGTCATAAATGAATGACTGCGTACCAACGTGTAGTTTGTTATAAATAATTTTGTATTTCGTTCCGCTTTCTCTAAACTGTTCTGCGAATTCCCACAACTTCTGCCTCGCAGAGCGCACCTTATCAGAAAAATCTTCAGAGATTCGTATTGGGGGCGTTACATTTTTAAGCTTGAACGCATTGCGGAGAACTTCTTCTCGATCTCGAAAGCTAAGAAATTTTACAATGATCGGTCGCTTTGTTCCGGATCGTTTTTGTCCCAACCGATGGGCCCTTTCAATTTCTCCCAAACTGATTCCGAGCATTTCTTGTGCAAAGCCAGTAATGATGAATGAATGCTGCACAGTGAAGGCGCCATGATCCTGCGCTTTTTCTGCGCGTGATCGGTTCAGCTGGCGACGGCAGACGCACAACGACGTCCAGCGCCGTGATGATGCAATTTTGGCGCCGCTTGAGTTGCCCAATCTGAACGTAGCGTCAGACTGCAGTCGGGCTTCGAGTGGAGCTGAGTAATAAACCATCCTTAACATCCTCCTTGCCCCAGTAAAACCTGAAAAGGAGGACAAACAACATCTCATTGGGTTTTAGTATCTCGCATAACAACAGTCTCGCGTGCCTAGTAAGGTCCTCGAACTTTCCCCGTTCGTCACGCAGGCCGGGGAGAGACGCCGTACACCAAGACGGCGGGGGCCTTCAGGTGCGGCGAGTGCGACGGCATGTTTTACTCCCGCAACCACCTGGACAGGCACCGCAGGATGGCGCACCGGAAGATGGTGTACCGGAAGGCGGTGCACCGCAAGGTGGAGGGACGGCACCAGTGCCGCCACTGCCCCTTCTCCAGCGACCGCGCGGACGGCGTGGCGGCGCATGAGCGGACCCACACGGGCGAGACGCCCTTCGTCTGCTCTACGTGCGGCAAGGGCTTCACCCAGCAGGGCCACCTGGCCAGGCACCGCCGGGTGCACACGGGCGAGCGTCCGTACGTGTGCTCCGAGTGCGGCAAAGGGTTCACCCAGAACCATGTCCTCATTAGGCACTTGCGGACGCACTCGGGTGCCAGACTGCACTCTTGCCTTCTGTGCGGGTTCAGGGGCGGCGATGCGAACAGCGTGAGGAAGCACGTGATTGCAATGCACTCCAAGGAGTACCCCCACACGTGCGAACGCTGTGGCAAGGGGTTCATTTTCCCGTATGAGCTGAGGGCCCACCTGGCCAGGAAGCACGCCGGCAGAGATTGACAGTAGGGACGTTGCGAGCCCGCCGAGGCTTGAGTTTTCTTGGGTTCGGCTCTTGCAAACTTTTAACTAGAGGTGTACGATTAATGAAATTTCGGATCATATGGAATATTGTCGAATAGCCACCAGAAATTCAAATGGCAAATTGCATTTTGAATATCAAAACGTTTCCTACACAACGGGCTCCTCCATCCTTTCCTCTTAGCACAGAAAACACCCGAGAGGGGGCAAGACGAAGCAAGGAGGGACTCACCCCCTCTCTGGCGTATGCTCTGCTAAGTGGAAAGGGTGAAGGGCTTGGCGGGAACCGCCTGTCCTGCTTTTCTTAGCCTGCAACAGGGTATAGCAGCGCACGAAGAGCAAAAAGAAAAATCGGACTAAGAAAAAAATGCAGCTACGTGTTTGCTCTATAGCAGAATACACGGAAAGAAAACCGCTTTTGGTTAGCACGAATAAAAACGGCGTTGGTGACTGTGGCTCCGGAAAGTTTGAGACGCAGCTAAATAAAGTGACCACCATCCACGGGTGTATACGCAGAGTGCGGAGTAAATGGACAAATACAGCTTATCCGTTGCAATCGGTTGGCGTCTTGCACTGTTTAGCCGCTGCACCTCGCTTGATGCCGCGGAAGGCGTCATTAGCGGACGAGACTGGTTCAAGTATAGATTTTTGTATTTGGCAATTAAATGTCATGTTAGAACCACTCCCTGCATATGCTACCTAACAGCAAGTCGCATTGGAGGAAACAGTTTGTCCTACGGCGAAATGTGTTGGCTCTTAACAAGCATGTGTTTTCAGTGCACAAGAGATGGCTGCAGGTGACACGAGATATTTGAATTTGAGGGCGACGTATGTGGTTTACGGTGTTTCATGGTTTCCTCCTTAGGACTACAGCCTACAAGCTATTTCCCATTGGAATACTTAGTCAGTTAAGGCCGCTTGATGCGTAGGCTTGAATTCAATTTAGCGGAAACCTGTGCAAGCTATGTCGTCAGATGGACAGCGTTTCTAAATAGAATCCGATTTTTCTCAGCAGAGAATTCAATGTGTCGAGTTATTTGAAGTATCAAATGCTATAAATTAACAAAACAGTAATCTAATTATTCAGTAAATCAGTATTTGATTCCAATTTGAAACTTGAATATCGCTACTTTTAATGTAAACTTAGGCTGGTTTGACTATGCCACCTGGGGGAGGAGGGGACACAGTATTTATCAGGTGTATTGCTTCACTGTATTGCGCTATATTACGTCAAATTCACAACTGCAAAATTATTTGCTTCCCAAGAGTTTGAAATTTTTGTGTCGAAGTCGACCAGCACTGTTCAAACTTATAGCTTTGTCTAACACCGCCACATACACTAAGGTTTGCCGAGCCAGTCATACCTCAAGGTTTGAGAAAAGCTTTTGAAATGCTTAGTAAAAAAGGACTAGCTTTGGTTTGGATGTGATTTTAGCTACTGCCAGGTTTTCAAGGTTGCCGTTGCGTGGTGGCGGACGGTTGTGCTCATGATGCTGAAAAGTGCCTAAAAGGAAATGTGTTGCTGGAGAGTTTGTGAATAAATTCCTTTGCGATTACCTTGTTTTCAATGGTGGTGCATCCATGCATGCAGTTGTGTATATATAAGATAATTAACTTTTAATGCGCAAGCATTAACTATCCCATGGAGCGGAACTAGCAATGTCTGTAACGGTAAAAAAAAAAAAAAAAAGGCTAAGGAAAAGCTTATGTTTTTGTGGACTGAGCAAAACGGCTCCTAAACAGCCATTGGCGGCCACTTCACGAGAGCGCCGCTCGTCCGGCGCTCGTGTTTAGCGAGGAATTACGAATGAGCGGGAAAAACGGGTGCCGCGCTTTGATTCTTATCGGAACAGCCCAAAACGCTGATTTTGACTTATGCCAAGCCGCACGTCACAGCGTGCGCGCAAGTTGCCGTGGAAACTGCTGTGGCGTCCGTTTTTTGTCGCTCGTGTGTTCCCTGCCAGGCCTGTCCAAACAGGCTACTACAAAAATTGTCAGGTCACACGATTCCTGCAAAAACCGTGAAATTTTAAGCGTCCGGTAGTCGTCGGTTGTATGTCTGGACACCGGCAAAGCCAAATTCACGACTTTCCTCCTCGCCTCCCCCACTTTTCTTTGACGTCGGTGCTCGTCAGACTTGACGTCATACGCCACCTGCCACTGGTATTCCTGATGCCTCTCTCCCGCAGCTCACCCCCCGACTACCGGACGCTTTAATTTTGACGATTTTTGCAGGAGTCGTGTGGCCTGGCGATTTTCGTAGAAGCCTGTTCAGGCCTTCAGGCGTTGCCGAAGAGACGGGGAGGAGGGGGGGGGGGGGGGGGGGTGGCTGGCTGGGCTGGGCTCGCCGGCCGCAACTTCGGTAGTAACGAAACATGGCTGTCGACGCCAGTACGCATACCTTACATGTTACGCCATATGGCATTGCTCCGTACCACGCTCCCGTGCCCGTACCTTCTGCAACATACATTTCGCGAAATCGCCTTGCGGAGAAGACATTCAGTGGTTCTGCATCAGAGCAGAGTAGCGCAATCTAGAACGCTACTTCCCGGCGACAAGCGGCGAACGCCCGGGGGTTCCAACTCCGGTCACAAATGCAGGGGGAACGTGACTCACGACAACTTCGGATCCCGCTTATCCAGGAGGGAGATAAACTTCCTGGGGCCAGAGCTGACGTCCCTCGTTTCAGCGGCTCCGAGCGATTAGATGTCTACCCCACGGCATCGTCCCTCATTTCCCTGGCTCTACACTCTCACCCATCGCTTTCCCACTTTCCAGTGTAGCGTCTTTCACCCTCCCTTCCTTCACCTATATATGCAAACTTCGGGTCAATAAATGTTGTTGCTAGCATACCTCGGCAAACCTCACTCATGAGGGCCCTCACTCACCCTCATCTTCACAAGTGAGGTGAGGGTGAGTGAGTTTCTGAACCAGGAAAATTCATGAGTGTGAGGGTGAGTGAGGGCCGTGAGGGCGGTGAGGGCCGTGAGGGCTGTGAGGGCGGTGAGGGCCGTGAGGGTGGTGAGGGCCGTGAGGGCCGTGAGGGCGGTGATGGCCGTGAGGGCCGTGAGGGTGGTGAGGGCCATGCAACTCTGAGCAATTCGAATGCGTTTGAAGCAGCTGCATCCAATCAGGGACGCAAAATTTTCACGTGATACCTCGTGCCAGTGATGATGACACCGAAAGACTTGGTTCTGGATTGAAATCGATCGTTTTTTTGGAAATAAACTGTTTCAGAAAGGTGCATTAGTATTCTTAACGAGATTTAAATGCATAAAAACACGTTTATAACGCGTAATTGTGTCTAAATAGTGCAAGAAAAATAAAATTTTATGATGACGATGGCAAATTGCAGCAATTGGTTGCTGCGTGTGATCGCGGGCGGTCCGTGTTGCTGGTGTTGCGACGTAAAGTTTCTGGGCGAAATTGCCCCATCTGAAGCTGGCCTGAGTGGCGTGAGGGCCATCAGTGCGTGACGGGCGTGAGGGGTGTGAGGGCCGCAAGGGCGGTGAGGCGCGTGAGGGCGGTGAGTGGCGTGAGGGCGGTGAGTGGCGTGAGGGCCGTGAGGGCGGTGAGGGCCGTGAGGGGCGTGAGGGCTATGAATGCGTGAGGGCGGTGAGGGGCGTGAAAGCCGTGAGGGCGGTGAGTGCGTGAGGTTGAGTGAAGGGCTGAAGGTGAGTGTGACTGTGAGGGTGAGTGAGGGGCTGAAGGTGAGTGTAGCTGTGAGGGTGAGGGTGAGTGAGGGGCTTAGGTAAGTGTGGCTGTGAGGGTGAGGGTGAGTGAGGGCGACCTAAAATGCCGACCTCTGGTTGCTAGTTGGAAGTCTTCGTTGTCCGTCCCCCCTTTCTATGTATCTTCATGTCTAATTACCGTTACCAACACGCTCGTTTTGTACTTAACTGAGAAAATCGTTTCTTGATTATTTTGGGGATGTACGGAACGACATTTGTTTTTGACATAATAAAGGAACAGTTTACAATAATTTGCGCTAGGTCGTGTGCCATATAAGAACGTGATTATTATTAGTTTTTAAAGTGGCTGAGCGGCATCATGCAGCCGACGACGCAATGACGCCACACCGTTCACACACAATCGTCTGCTTCAAACGCGATTGCCCTGGAAATTGCCTTCTCAAAATTTTCACGCGCATCCAATATTATAAAAACTTTCATAAAGTGTCGAGTGCTTTACCAACTTTATGACAGACTAGTTTCAAGAAGTGTGAGCTCGCCGTTTATTTTTTAATCATCCGTGTGGCGTCGATCTTCATGTTTTCTCCCATTGGGCGGGCGCCTTCTGGAACTCTGAGTACCACGTGACTCGCACCGAGCTGCTCTGTCGGTCATGTCAGCAAAACACGCGTATCAAAGGATTGCGTGCGTTACTCTGCTCCGTAGAAGGTGCGGGCGCAGGAACATGGTACATAACAATGGCGGCTGACGTGACGTCAATGAAGAGCTAAGGGAGCGGAAGAACGACATTAATGCTTTCGCATTCACAACTCGTAAGAAGTGCTTAGGTGTCCTTGGAATTTTTAAAATTAAACATATCTACTTTTTTTTTATCTTTGAGGAAAGGTGTGAGAGTTGGGCGAATGCCGTCTTCACCATGTCATAATCTCGTTATGTTCGGTGGACATTAGATGAACGGATAATCGTAGGGTAAGCTGACTTGACTACTGTACTGATATTTGTTAACTATTGGTTTGAGGGGTAATGTCTGAACTGCAATGTTCGATGCAATGACTTAAAGGCCAGACCAATTTGAAGGTTCTGCAAAATCGAATTTGTTTGATTTAAATTTGATTAATTTAATTTTTAATCGGATTTTTTTTATTGAAATCAGATGAATTACATTTTTAATAATTGTAGCTAGGGTAGGTGAGTCATATTGCTAGATGTATTTAAAAGTGGCAGGTTGGTAAACTCGTCCGATCGCTGAAAACTATGGAAACAACAATTACTGTAAATTTAAGGCACAGTCTAATTAACAACCTTTTCTTGTAAGCCTCGCCATGCTACAACAAAAGCTTTATTTTCCTTTTGCGTTTTGATTTGCTTGTAATAGCACATTACATACTTGACCAATGAAATGGAAGGTACAAAGACCGTCTGGCTCGTGTTCATCACATTCAGATATAAATATTTTTTGATTATTCTTTATTAACGAATGCCAGCAAATATAAAATAATAAACAAACGGGAAAAATGATTTAGGATTATTTTTGCTGGAAAGTTTGGGTTTAAATCAATAAATAGGGCATAATGTAAATCATCTTGATTTTTGTTCTCCACCCTAATTTGTATTGATAGACGCTCTAGCGGATATGCTGACTTTCGCTGGCATTTCACAGAAATTCTTTTTACAAGCTAAATAAACTACCGAGTGTAAATGGGTGAAGGGGAGACAGGCTTTATCTCAACTGAACTGTAGCACTGTTCTATTCTTATTACTAAAGGTAATATGTAATATGCTGTACCAAAGAAACTCCAGTCGTCTACAAAACTCCTTTAGCGGTGCAATTGTTTTTTTTTAATTATTCAAGTATTAACAAATGTTAGCACCTGCTCCAGAAGCGTGAGTCTTCAAACATTATTTTGCCTGCTAGGAAACCTGATACAAAAGGTCAAATGTTGCTTCTATCATAATTTCCCTAAGACCATTCACTTTTTTAATAATGTTGTTCACTATTTTCTTTGCGGAGGAGTGAAGAGCACGAAGAAATTGCTAAACCTCGCAATTACACAAATAAAATGAACACGACTAAAAAACGAATATCGGGAAGGGGTTTGGGGGGGGGGGGGGGGGGCAATTTGTTGTGTGGAGCAACAAGGTGGCTATTTGGGCAAGTTGGTCCATGGTCTTGAAACGTATAAAAGCGCCAAAAGCAACGAAGGCGAAATAAGACACCATGCACATTATTCTCCCCCTTCACTGTTGTAGATGCTCCTGTTTGCTGGTGTTGCAGGATGTGAAGATTCTTGACAGGTGTAAAGAAACAACAAGCAGAGAGCTGCACGACGCATTCAATATTCGGGCTAAGGATAAATATTGTGTGAGTGAGGCATCAATTCCCCTTCCAAACAGAGTTTGATTTTATGAAAAATGCTGTGCGCCGATGTTATGATTAGTGATGGACCGAATCTGCCTAACTTCAAATTCGGAAAGTTCGGCAACTGCAAAACTTTCGAAGGAAAATTCGGCAAGGATTTTGCGAACATTCGGCAAACGTCTGCGAACGTGCAAGAACACGAAAATTGAACGCCGTGCGGTGATGCCGTTACATCATGCAGTGTAGTACTACCAGCGGTTACGGCGATGTGCGGAGTAGGTGACGTTTTAACTGTGTGTTTGCCAGCCTTTGTGAACGTGGTTTTCTTTAATATGTTCTGCCTCAAGAACAGAAGACCGACCAGGTATTGACGCCGTCCACTGCACAAGTGATAAATAATGAGGCATATTCTGGATAACGTTATCTTTATTTGATATTTCGAGTGATGCAAAGAGGAGTTGCAACATTGACTGACAGCCTCTGCCCGCTTGTCCCCAGCTGTGCT